CCGAATTATATACAATTCCAAATGTCACGTTACACGTATGTTCGAGAGAAAACACATATTAATTAATTATAAAGTCAAAAGTTTTTGGAGTTCGACAAAAAACGGAGACTGCAATTTCTCACTGTTTATCAATGAAACAAGAAATTCAATAAAACAAGAAATTTAATTTTAGTACATTTTTACAGAATAAAAAGGTATAAAACAATTTATGAAATATAATGCCTATTTGTTGTATGACTATTTGTTTAACGGGTGATAATGTACTCGTAAAATATTTGTTCCAGGACCGTACATCAACCCCAGAAACCCTGACCGGATGGGGCTTAACTTTGAAAGTAAAAGAGTTAGAGACTTCCGGTTTTTGGTAACATGTTCCTCTTTTAAAAGTAACGTTACCTCTCCAGGAGGAAAATTCAAGACAACGTAATTGTTGAGTTATCTCAAAATCTCCAGAAAAGTCCCCTTTCAGGCCGATCAAAAGTTTGCAACTTTAACTTTGCGGATTCCTGTACTCTGGTTGGCTGAATTGTGTCACGTGGTAGCTGCCTGAACATTGGAATACGCCACGCGTGCAAATCATGCTTGTTGTTGCGCGCGAGGTCAAGCCGTCTGTTTAAATTAAACCAACTCTAGTACCACCACCAGCCGGTAACTTTTCCTGGGTGCGAAGTAACCAATTAAGGCTATTGAATGCCGAACACAAGGATATTTCGTATTCGGATCATATGCCTGCAGGCTGTCTGTCGCTTAAGACCATGGTCGCTCTTAACTGAGCGATAAGTGACGTTAAGTGAGACCGTGAGCACCACTTCTTGCCAAATTTGCTTTTGAATTACGGCCCCCCCCCCTCCCCTCCCCCCCCCATCATGAAGTAAAACAGTACAAGTTGTGGTTTAACGACAAAATACAGCGAATTCTAGCCCTTGAAAGTTGTAGGTTTGGAAGATCAATACGGCTGCTTTAATTCTTAAAATTCTTAAGTTAGAACGGCCAAAACACCCTACTCGGCGTCAGTCAACTGCACCCAGAAACCCTGACCGGATGGGGCTTAACTTTGAAAGTAAAAGAGTTAGAGACTTCCGGTTTTTGGTAACATGTTCCTCTTTTAAAAGTAACGTTACCTCTCCAGGAGGAAAATTCAAGACAACGTAATTGTTGAGTTATCTCAAAATCTCCAGAAAAGTCCCCTTTCAGGCCGATCAAAAGTTTGCAACTTTAACTTTGCGGATTCCTGTACTCTGGTTGGCTGAATTGTGTCACGTGGTAGCTGCCTGAACATTGGAATACGCCACGCGTGCAAATCATGCTTGTTGTTGCGCGCGAGGTCAAGCCGTCTGTTTAAATTAAACCAACTCTAGTACCACCACCAGCCGGTAACTTTTCCTGGGTGCGAAGTAACCAATTAAGGCTATTGAATGCCGAACACAAGGATATTTCGTATTCGGATCATATGCCTGCAGGCTGTCTGTCGCTTAAGACCATGGTCGCTCTTAACTGAGCGATAAGTGACGTTAAGTGAGACCGTGAGCACCACTTCTTGCCAAATTTGCTTTTGAATTACGCCCCCCCCCCCCCTCCCCTCCCCCCCCCATCATGAAGTAAAACAGTACAAGTTGTGGTTTAACGACAAAATACAGCGAATTCTAGCCCTTGAAAGTTGTAGGTTTGGAAGATCAATACGGCTGCTTTAATTCTTAAAATTCTTAAGTTAGAACGGCCAAAACACCCTACTCGGCGTCAGTCAACTGCACCCAGAAACCCTGACCGGATGGGGCTTAACTTTGAAAGTAAAAGAGTTAGAGACTTCCGGTTTTTGGTAACATGTTCCTCTTTTAAAAGTAACGTTACCTCTCCAGGAGGAAAATTCAAGACAACGTAATTGTTGAGTTATCTCAAAATCTCCAGAAAAGTCCCCTTTCAGGCCGATCAAAAGTTTGCAACTTTAACTTTGCGGATTCCTGTACTCTGGTTGGCTGAATTGTGTCACGTGGTAGCTGCCTGAACATTGGAATACGCCACGCGTGCAAATCATGCTTGTTGTTGCGCGCGAGGTCAAGCCGTCTGTTTAAATTAAACCAACTCTAGTACCACCACCAGCCGGTAACTTTTCCTGGGACGAGTTCAAATCGGCGCGCGTCCTGGTAGGTTATAAACCTACAACTTTTTGTCCTTGACTGCTAGTTTGGTTTTGGAAGGATAGGTAACTAACAGGGCAAGGAATGCGCGTGCCTGGAAGCTGTTGCACACCGACTTCACATAGCCATGTGCCTACGCGTACTGCGTGACGCGCTTGTTTCACAAGCGAGAGGGCTCTGGTTAGAGCTCTGGTTAGAGCAACACACCGACCCAAAAAACTTCACCGCCTGCAGGGCTCGCTAGAGGTGATAGATTTTCAACAGCACGTTTGTCGTCGTGCGTCACGTCAAGATTACCTTTCGCACGCTGCATTTAGCCTAGTAGTCATGACAACGACATTACTTTGCAAAGTTTAAAAGCTGTGATCTTTTATTTAGCCTAAAATCAAACTTTTAGAAATATTTTGAAAATTGACTGTAGATTGTAGCGTGATGCACTACTGCATACTGGGTCATGCCGCGCATCCAATAATGCCTCTCGCAACCACATAACTATAGATCGGCGAGATGCACCACTGGGTCTTGATGTCAAGGATATTAACTTAGAGCCAACAAATTGAATTGGCTACTTTTACTACTACAAAAAAGGGTTGTTATGAAATTTTTAAAGATTTTTTATTGAATTTTTATATAGAATTTGTATATAGGGTTATTATATATACATCGTTCTGAAAAAAATGTACTTCTTAACAGATCGAATCTTAATCGTGTTCTGATATGATTTTTGACTTGGCTCCTGGCTTCTGTCCTGGCTTCTATCTATCATCTCAGAGACACGATCTACAAACACAGTGCAGAGCGTCCCATACCTCCGGAGGTTATGAAGTCTAGAGGGACAAAGGATCCTTTCTCCGACTGAAGTACTCTCTCTTCATACAAATCTTTCTTTTCTTTCTCATGATCTCTATAGATCTTATCTAGTAAGATGTATTTGTGTAAGATCTAGTAAGATAAATGTATTTGTGTCACAGTTAGGATGTGTGACCCTGATGTCATAGAATGTTCATTCAAAGGGTGCTTCATCCTGGGTGTTGGTCTTCCTTGAGAATGAGCTTGGTTGGATTGTCAGGAGTGCTGGTTCTATCCTTACACTTCTCGAAGGAGGAAAGCAGCAGTGTCTCTTATGGCATTGTGGCGCATGGAAACGTATCCACCTAGTTTACAGTCAAGGGCGTGGTAGATACTGTTTACATTTACGCAGGCACATTTAAAGGGCACTCCTTGGATCTTCCAACCATAACGTAGGCGTATGCTGTCTTGGAACTCCTGCCTGTTCAGAACATAGTTGAGGTCCTTCAGTGGTAGTGTTGAGAGCCATGTTGAGGCTCCCTTCTCTCTTGCTTGGCCTAGGTGGTTCTTAAGTTGATGATCTGACTCATTATAGAGCACCTTGAACCTTTGGGAGAGAAACTCCTCTTTCTGTTTCCTCAGTTCTTCTTTCTTTTTTTTTATCTTGCCCAGGTCCAGCTTGGTGATATCCTGGTCTTGTTGGTTGATCAAACTCACAAGGTTTTTAGTTACTGCTACTCAAGAAAACAACAATTTCAAGAAAACAACAATTTTATTTAGTATCAATTAAAGCAGACAAAAATATATTTCATATATATATAACTAGCACGAACTTTAGATCAGATATCTTAGGGGACTTGGAGTAGCAAGAGATTGACTAAAAGGTATATAACTTTTACAAAGATACGTCGAGAAGAATCCAGGGTGATACAGGATCGGAGAGTGCAGACCAAAAGTTTACGCACCCACCTTTGCCTCCTGAGTTCTTGGTTGGGTAGAAATTTATGCAAACTTGGTCGTTTATACTCCAAGTCCCTTTCTTAAAAGAAGTAGTATTAACTATGTCTAGAGTTAGCTTCGTTCAATAATAACAATATCAATATAATCAATATCAATACCAGATAAACCTACCGAATAAATTATTAAATATCAATTAATTCATTCCGATAAAAAATTTTATAAATTTAGATATTTAACTTATCTAAAAACATTACAACAAATGTTTAAAAAGCGCCCAAAATCGATTTGAAAGATTTTCTGTCTATAGTACAATCATGATAGTAATAGTAAGTGTGTGCCGCTGCAATTAGATTTGATTACTGCAATTTAAAATTGTTTGGAGTCCAAGTATCTTTTAAGTCAGCTGCCTGTGCTTGTATTAATAGTGCTTTGGTTCTCAGTTTTATCAAGCTAATGGACGTTTCTAAGCAATTGCTTGAAGTTAAAATTTTTTTATGAACAGCGTTCCAAAGCTTGGCTGCATTAAACAAAAATGTATTTGAGTGATACTAGTATGATTATTGAAAGTGTCAACTCCAATTGTAGCTTGGAGGACTTTGCCGCTTCGATTCCCCTAAATGGGTCGGCGCGGGCGGTGCATCAAAAACGTCAATTGCAATTACATCGCAATGTGATTGCAAAAAGCAAATTTTCTGCTCTTATTTCTTTGTTTGAATTGAAAGGTGAGAGGAAATTCCCCTAGACATAATTTGTTATTCAATAGATTTAGGACTTACATAGACCTTGGATTTGAATAGTTGCTATCTGATTCTCTATGACATATAGTGAGAGCTCCTGCTCAGACAAAAAATGCTGAACAGGAAATATGATTAAAATTCCAGTTGTTATTCTTGGTGAACATACTGCATCCTATACCATGCCCTGACGCTGCCTGTATCAATCGAATCGGTAATTTGAATCCTGCCTCTTGAAGGTTTATGGATGATCCCTGTAAATATTTGTTTCAACCTCGGCGTATGGGTTATAAACATACAACTATATTTAATCCTGTTTACAACTTTTAAAAACATGTTTCTTAAAAGTTGACCAGTTTCCTCTTTCATCGAAATTTCATCTAGCAATGTAGAGCTCAACAAGCTTATAACATATATGCTTATTTTTAGGCAATGGACGGTAAAAACCAGAACCTCTTCAAATATCTCCTTCCGGTATTATGCAGCATCCTAGCTTCTCATCTGCTGATGGTTTATGTTGTCACAGACTACCAGTACCCAGGAATGACAACTCATCTGTCTATTGATGGTTCAAACATTACTGTGAAACGCACAGAGCACCTGACATTGGTGGGATATGGGGAAAATACTGCATCAGATTTTTACAAAACTCTAGGTTGGATGCACGCTCGAGACAGGTATGTTCAAATATGTCTCACAAGACTTGCTGCTCAAGGACGGCTTACAGAGACCTTCCCTTATGCTGAGACCAACCACAAATTGGATCTTATCTCCAAACAGTTTGGTTTCCACGGCAGGAACAAAGCTTACTATGCAGGTTACGAGGATGGTGGTCTTGGAAAGGACATTCTTGAATCATACGTTGCTGGAGTAAACAACTACATGAAGAATCATAGACGTCCTTTCGAGTTTGTTCTTATTAACTACCATCCAGAACCATTTGTGCCAACTGATGTAACAACCTTCATCAGCTTCGTGTCCTTTGTTGGTTTGGAAGAAATATCCTTTGCAGTGGAGAAAACCATTATCGAATTTCTGCGATCAGACAAAGTCTCTCATGAGTTTTTAAAACAGGTTTTTCATCCTCATTTGAACAATCTCACCATGGAACATGTTGCAATGTATAAAAGTATCAAGGATCTCAAATCAAATGATGGATTAAAATCACCTGTTCCTGTGATAACAAATAGCAACAATTGGGTTGTTTCTGGTAAGTTTTTACCTACTTATACAGGGGGGGGGGGGGGGGGAGCCAAAAGTCAGTACCCATACATTGGGTCTTATACCACCGCCGTTTTATATTTGAGAGTTGTTGCTTTGCAGATGGCATACTGTACCTTCTTGTTCAAGGATTCCGTCACCAAAATTTGAAAATTCGATTTTTGGGGGGCCACACCCAATCAACATTGAATTGCTTATACTGGTGTTTGTGAACATGTTATATGTAACATATTGCAATAGGTCATTTAATCAGGAATATAATCTGAAACAAGAAATGCGGCCGCTTTTCTTTTGTGGATGGCCGCTCAATTTCCCGATCTGTGATGGCGTAATTATCATATTCCATACAACCTGGGGACGGCCCCGTCTTTACTGTTTATATAAACATGCAAATATGGCGAAGTGACATGCCGACTGCCCATGCCGCCCAGTTAATATAATTCTATATTGAATTTGAAAATCGTGTATACTTCTATGTAAGTGTAACCATATGTTTATTGTTTATGCAACCTGACACGGATCTGTGCAAAATAGTAATACTAACTCAAAATAATAATAATATGCTATTAATTAGTGCCTAGTGGGATACGTACATGATGAAATTAATAATGTACTTGGTTGGTTCAGCGCCGCGCGCCAACAATTATATAATTCAGATTGTCACGCAAAATAACTTTGCGCAGGTAGTCACGTGGGCGATAACAGTGCTCGCATGGCAGGCACGTACGGTCGCACACTCGCGCGCACACACGGTCGCAAAGCTACCATATAAAAAAAACCTCGATCGCTAACCCTTGTCCTTGACTCTTTTGTGCCTTCGGCACTTTGAGTCATGGATCGGGAAAAAATGGTGCGAAACAGATTTTTAAAATGACGAAGACATCAAGCAATTTGTTTATCTCTTTAGAAAAATTGATTGGGTACTCAATGATTACCCAATAACGACACCGTAATTGGGCTCTCTGCACGATTCTCGTAATGCCTCAACCCAATCACCTGATCACAAGTAATGAACAAACTCGTTATATGCTTCATATCTCGGTCATCTGAGAAGCTAGAACTCTTATTTTTTCAGGATCCGACTATCCGAACTATCTAATAAATGCGAAAATGAACAATGACAAATTCCTCGAACCAGTGGTGGTAGTAAGTCATTCCAGAAAGAATTTATTTCAATTGGGCACTCAGTGATTGACCTATTGAGGCCAACGTATGGGTACTGACCCCCCCCCCACCCCCCCACCCCCCCCCCCCCCCCCCCCCCCCCCCCCCCCCCCCCCCCGGTAATAACAGGTAACCCAAACAGTCAATTCCGCAGGTTTTACATGCTTGACCTTGCTTTAATGCTTTCTTTAAAAAGGTAATCTTGAAGCCATCGACTGCTTTTAACTAAATGCCTAGCTGCTGTCCCCAATGAAGTTACAATTTCTCCTTCAGGTGCAATATCAAGCAGTGGATTTCCCATCATGAGTTCGGATCCCCATCTTGACCTTTCAAAGTATCCTAACACCTTCTACGAATCCTCTTACTATTCCAGGCAGGGAGATTCTATTTTTGGTATTTCTGTGCCAGGTGAGAGTCTCAGAAAAATTGTCTCCTTTGCAAATCCTTTCTGTCAAAAATTGTATCACGGTTACACGATGTGTTAGTTCAGTGAATCAATGACACACGTTGATAGTTGAAAGTAGATAAGTCAATAGATATACAGAGACCCCACGGCTAACACAGACATCGTATATATTATATAGCATACTCCTGAAATATAAAGGAGTTAACTCAAATTCAAATACATATACAAACACATAAAATATAATAGTAGAATATAAATCACAATTATATGATCACAATATGAAGCTGGACTTACTTATAGCTTTTACATGAATACAATGCAATGAAGTCATAATCGCCAATCTATAAACACATGCCTTATTATGTCACCTTCAGCAAGGTAGAAAAATACTGTATCTAATATTTCATCTTTTAATCTTTGCAATTTCAGGGGTCCCTTTCATCCTTATGGGAAGGAACAAAGCATTGACCTTTTCATTGACATATGGTATGCTGGATGCGAGTGACTACTTCATCGAGAGGATAAAGGATGGAAAATACGAACGTGATGGCACTTACCTACCTCTAAAATCGAGAAAATATGAAGTGGTTGGAAAAGAAGCGATATTCTATGAGACTGGAGAGGGTCATCTTATAGAGAGGAATGCAGAAAATTATGATAAGGAGATCTCTGATGGTGTCTACGTTGCTATGAGAATACCTGATAGAAGTGAAGAGATCACCATGAGACAGTCCATCCTTCCTTTTGCTCAATCAGTGGCAGATGCCAAGAAACTCGTTCCGCAATCCCTTCTGGGATCTAACTATTTGCTGGCAGATATCCATGGTAATATTGGGTACCAACAGACTGGGTCTGTTCCACTGCGTCCTAACAGTGATGGTCTGCTGCCGCTTCCTGCTTGGAACTCAGCCAACCTTTGGGCAGGTTTATAAAATAGATGTCTTAATTTTAATGATAATCATTAGAATATTTTCCATTTCAAATAATTCGATTGAAATGGTAACCCGTAATTCCAATGATACTGGTACAACTACATTGCATGGAATTGACATGATCGTACGTGTTGTAATTGTGTAACTGCAGCGAAATTGTTGTTCAGGTTACCTATCAGACTCCGACTACATGACAGTGTTGAACCCACCTGACCAGTTTATAGCCACAGCAAACAACCACTACCAAGACCCCTCAAAACCCTGTGTTAGCACTTTTCCCGCTCTACCTACACGATTCAACAGGTCAACAGCATTTCCTTAATTTTTATTCTGTGTTTCAGTCAGTGTAGCGCTCATTTTCTGTCGAATCGTATTTAAATTCTCAAACGGGGCCGGGGCCTACCTTGGAGTTGAAGGCTAATGACTAAAAGAAATTGAAATTAATGCCTTTTGGAATAGATGTTATTAATGCCGGGCAAAATTATCCTAAAACTGGTCATAAAAGCAACATATTTTGATAACTGACGCACAGGATATCGGATATATTGAGAAGTGGTTCAAACCACTCAGTGGAAGATATGATGAGATACCAGGGAGACACTTTCAGTAAAATCGCTAATCTCACCATCCCACTCTTGGAACCTTTCCTTCCTTCGTCAGGTTGGTATTTTATTTTCTCATCAGGTTGGTATTTTATTTTTTCACCTTTTTTATTTTTCTTCAATTGATGTTTTGTTGTCCAGTTCAATCCACAAATCCATCTTATCAAAAGAACACAATTCACCATAATTTTATGTTAAACCTCTGTTAAGGGTCGTTCACATATTACGTAATCAGCCGAGGGGAGGGGTTTTCAAATGCTTACGGTTGATTACGGGGGGGGGGGGGGGGGTGAAACCTTGATAACGTAATATAGGGGGGGGGGGGGGGTGTCACGTCCGTCTATGTCCGCTTGTCTCATAGAATCCAAAAAGGACAGGACATAGGCGGACATAGGCGGACATAGGCGGACATAGACGGACATAGGCGGACATAGACGGACATAGGCGGACATTGGCGGACATAGACGGACATATACGGACATTAATGGACACCTAAATTGCTAAATAAAATGTTCAATTTTTGCTGTTATAGGGGGATCATGTTTTTTGTCCGTTCGGTACCCTATATTTTCAAAACGGACAAAAAATAGAGCGGACAAAAATGGACAAAAACGGACAAAAATGGAAATAACATTCAGATGCTTCCTCCTCCTACTCTTCCTCCTCCTCCTCCTGGGTCTTCCTGATCTTCCTCAGTCCTCTTCCTCCTCCCCTCCTCAGTCCTCCTCCTCGTCTTCAGTCCTCCTCATCAGTCCTCAACAGTTCTCCTCCTCCCCAGTCCTCCTCCTCCTCCTGAGTCCTCCTCCTGGGTCCTCCTCCTGGGTCCTCCTCCTCCTCTTCCTCCTCAGTCCTCAGTCCTCCTCCTCATCCTTCTCCTCAGTCCTCCATCCTCCTCCTCAGTCCTCCCCCAGTCCCCCTCCTCCTCCTATTCAGCCATCCTCCTCCTCCTCCTCCTCAGTCCTCCTCCTTCTCAGTCCTCCTCTTCCCTGTCAGTCATCCTCCTCAGCAATCCTCCTCAGTCCTCCTCCTGAGTCCTCCTCCTCCTGAGTCCTCCTCCTCCTCTTCATCCTCCTACTCTTCCTCCTCGGTCCTGGGTCCTCCTCCTCCTGGGTCCTCCTCCTCATCCTTCTCATCAGTCCTCCTCCTCCCCAGTCCTCTCCCAGTCCCCCTCCTTCTCCTCCTATTCAGTCCTCCTCCTCCTCCTCCTCCTCCTCCTCCTCCTCCTCCTCCTCCTCCTCAGTTCTCCTCAGTCCTCCTTCTCATTTCTCCCAAGTCCTCCTCCTGAGTCCTCCTCCTCCTCTCCCTCCTGAGTCCTCCTCCTCCTCCCTCTCAGTCATCCTCCTCAGTCATCCTCCTCAGCCATCCTCCCCAGCCATCCTCCTCAGCCATCCTCCTCAGTACTCCTCAGTCCTCCTCCTTCTCAGTCATCGTCAGTCCTCCTCCTCAGTCCTCCTCAGTCCTCCTCCTCCTCCTGGGTCCTCCTCCTCCTCCTCCTCCTCCTCCTGGGTCTTCCTGATCCTCCCCAGTCCTCTTCCTCCTCCCCTCCTCAGTCCTCCTCTTACTCCTCCTCCTCGTCCTCAGTCCTCCTCATCAGTCCTCAACAGTCCTACTCCTCCCCAGTCCTCCTCCTCCTCCTGGGGCCTTTTCCTGGGTCCTCCTGGGTCGTCCTCGTCCTGGGTCCTCCTCCTCCTGGGAAGTGAGGTCCTGGGTCCTCCTTCTCCTCCTCAGTCCTTCTCCTCCTCCTCAGTCCTCTTCCTCCTCTTCCTCCTCCTCCTCCCTCTCAGTCATCCTCCTCAGCCATCCTCCTTAGTCCTCCTCCTTCTCAGTCCTTCTCAGTCCTCCTCCTGAGTCCTCCTCCTCCTGAGTCATCCTCCTCAGTTCTCCTCCTCCTCCTCCTAGGTCCTCCTTCTGGGTCCTCCTCCTCCTCCTCCTCCTGGGTCTTCCTGATCCTTCTCCTCCCTCTCAGTCATCCTCCTCAGTCATCCTCCTCAGTCATCCTCCTCAGCCATCCTCCCCAGCCATCCTCCTCAGCCATTCTCCTCAGTACTCCTCAGTCCTCCTCCTTCTCAGTCATCGTCAGTCCTCCTCCTCAGTCCTCCTCCTCCTCCTGGGTCCTCCTCCTCCTCCTGGGTCCTCCTGGGTCTTCCTGATCCTCCCCAGTCCTCTTCCTCCTCCCCTCCTCAGTCCTCCTCCTACTCCTCCTCCTCGTCCTCAGTCCTCCTCATCAGTCCTCAACAGTTCTCCTCTTCCCCAGTCCTCCTCCTCCTCCTGGGGCCTTTTCCTGGGTCCTCCTCCTGGGTCCTCCTCCTCCTGGGTCCTCCTCCTCCTGGGTCCTCCTCCTCCTGGGTCCTCCTTCTCCTCCTCAGTCCTTCTCCTCCTCCTCCTCAGTCCTCTTCCTCCTCCTCCTCCCTCTCAGTCATCCTCCTCCGCCATCCTCCTCAGCCATCCTCCTCAGTCCTCCTCCTTCTCAGTCCTCCTCCTGAGTCCTCCTCCTCCTCAGTCATCCTCCTCAGTTCTCCTCCTCCTCCTCCTAGGTCCTCCTTCTGGGTCCTCCTCCTCCTCCTCCTTCTGGGTCCTCCTCCTGAGTCCTCCTCCTCCTCAGTCATCCTCCTCAGTTCTCCTCCTCCTCCTCCTAGGTCCTCCTCCTGGGTCTTCCTGATCCTTCTCCTCCCTCTCAGTCATCCTCCTCAGTCATCCTCCTCAGTCATCCTCCTCAGCCATCCTCCTCAGCCATCCTCCACAGTACTCTTCAGTACTCTTCAGTACTCTTCAGTCCTCAAAATGTTTGTCCGCTAATGTCCACCAATGTCCGCTAATGTCCACCAATGTCCGTCCAAGTCCGCCAATGTCCGTCCGGGTCCGCCAATGTCCGTCCGAGTCCGCCAATGTCCGTCCAAGTCCGCCAATGTCCGTCCGTGTCCGCCAATGTCCCAAAAAACACGTCCGTTGTCTCATAGAATCCAAAAAGGACAGGACATAGGCGGACATAGACGGACATGACACCCCCCCCCCCCAATATAGGGGGGGGGGTTCGGTCTTGATTACGGTTGATTACGGAGGGGGGGTAAAAATTGCCAAAATATTGATTACGTAATATGTCTATATGTGAACGACCCCTTATTAAACATAAAAAGCTTTATTTTCCAGTAATTGATGTCATGAAAAAACTCACTTCTTCAATTTTCAAACAGTTGTTGAAGAAGATAACTCTGTTATTGTAGAAAAGGGCTCGCTCAACTGAATGTATAGTACATATACAGTGGTGAATGTATAGTGTATAGTGTACTAATGCTTTTCATTCATACAAAGTTATAACAAATTCTCCTTGTAGTTCATTCTGGGTTTGGACAGGATATGCCCGCTTAAAATATTTCCATCACGTTACATTACATAATTCTCAATAATTGTAATAGATTTGTAGTGTTGTAATTAGTTTAAAACTAACATATACAGTGGTGAATGTATAGTGTATACTGTATAGTACATACTACATATAATACTTTCAACACTACTATATAACAAATAATTTGAGTAAACGATGTAACAGAGTCGATATATTTTTATGTTGCCATGGGGTGGCAAGTCCCCATACATCGTGGTCCGGTAGTTTCATTGCGTCCTAATATACAGTGGTGAATTTTTGAAATTTTGCCTAATACAATGATCGTATAATTAAGCAGTTTTTCATCGGTTTTGATTCACCATCTTCCTATGAACCGATGATAACTTGATCTACATTGGGTGAGAAAGGGCGCAAAAATCCGGCAGCCGATAGATACGATCACACAGACTCCTCACACAAACTGAAGAAGTGCAATTGTAATTTTTTGGCAAAATTTCATAATGTTAAAAATTTACTGCAGAATAATAATAATAAATTGAAATTGAATAACACCGCTTTTAAGATAAAACTTATACTCAGCAGTGTTTAAACTAGTCATCTCAGAAAATAACATGAAAACTAGGTTAAGAAAAGTAAATTAAACTTGAAAATGTATCGCGTCGTCAATGCTAAAGCCAGAAAAAGGTACTTTTAAACATATTATGCAAAGGTCAAACACCAGATATGACCAAAATAGTTATCGATAAAGTTTTTCAAGTTTGTCTAGGGACAGTTTAAAAAGGTAGTATTTTAGAAGAGCTTTAAAAGATTCCAAGGATTGAGCTGACGAGATGGTAACAGGCAGACGATTGTAGATCTTTGGAGCCACCACAGAGAAGCTACGCTCACCAAACTTTGAATTACAAGAAGGAACAATAAGAATAACAGCTCCACACCAAACTATGATGGATTTGCTCTAGTCTCCAGCCATTCTCTTGTTCAGTGTTCCGGTTCTTTTTTTCTGATAAATTACCGGTCCCGGCTTATCCCCGGTACTGGTTACTGTACTTTCAATATTCGAATTTTCAGTTTTAAGTCAGAAATCCGATCCTGGTCAACCTTTGTCTAATATATAATATAAAGATATAATATATAATATAGCTTCAAATCTGTTCAGGTATTGGAGACGAACTGAGGCATTGGAATCGCAGATTCGAGATAGAATCCCGCCCCTCGGCTCTCTGGTTTGATTTCTGGACGGAGTTCACTGCCAACATCAACTCCATCATATTCGGCCGGGAAGCGTACGACAAACTCGAACCCATCGTCTTCAACAAGTACATATTCTACAAGTTCGCCATCATCGGTCTGGAAACAGGATTTGTGGACGGTGTTGATATAACCCCTGTTCTGAAGGAGAGTATCGAGAATAGCATAGCTCGTTATCAAGGAACTGTGTACGGTGATTTCAGGAAGTATTTCTCTGTCAACATGTTCTTCTCTGGCAAGCTGCCAAAGTTTTTGGGATTTGATGTTGGTCCGTACCCGACGAACAGTGGGTTTGAAGTGATTAAAGTTGGGTCTGTGGACAAGTACCTGAATGATCCATGTGTATTTATGCAGGTAAAAGCTGTCGACTGTTGTACGTCGCTTTTAAACTTTATGTCCCTATCAAATGCTTTTACTTGACAAGGTTACTTTATTGCCAGCGTTTCTGAACCAATAATGCTCTATAATGTCAATATTACTCTATATAATCACCTTACATTCCGTCAGACGTGGAGGTTTATAACAGACATGTCAACCAGCGTATTCTACTCTATCCTCCCTGGCGGTCCTAGTGGCAACTACTTTAGTAACCTCTACAAACTTGAGATTAGCAACTATGTTACCGAGGTTTACAAAGTCTGGCAGCTGTAGAGTTGAACAAAGTCTAGAACAGAACAGAGTCTGGCAGCATCTGGCAGCATCTGGCAGCTTAAAACTGTGCTGTGTTCTCAAATTGTATGTTCTTTTTGAAAACTTATTAATTACTTTAGCGCCATCGCGACTCTTATAGAGCTTTAGATTGAAGACTTTAATTTTTTTAAAAACTTTCAGATAAACATAAAGTTGAGTCAGATTTAGATTAGGTATCTGTATTCTGTGACCTGTAGCTGTGTCGAATAGAAGAGACAAAACGTTAAATATATTGAAGTAGGGTGAACCACAATTAACTTCGTATCATGGTATAAGAGTTAACGTTTCTAATGAAAGATTAAAAGTTACGAAGTGTTATCGTACAAAAACCCTCTAATGCTGACAGGGTCAATTTAGGACAACCCTAAGAATGCTTCTTTTTACATACTGACGTTTCACACGAATGAGTTTTTGATAAACGATTTAATTGGTACCAATCTGAACTTCTTGTTGTTTTTTTAGGTATTTCTAATGTAGTGACCCGCTTACCATACCTGTTGTTCTGGACATTATGTATTTTTACTTAATAACGTACCATGGCAGTTTAGATTTTCGAATTATTTGTATAAATCGATTTTTGAAACTTATGTAGTTTTAAATTATTCCTATTTCCTACTGCGAACCCTGATGCTGGACAGGCATATGATACGGAGGGGTTTATCTGGCGTAGATCGGACTTAGTTCCGACATAGTAGTAGTAGTAGTAGTAGTAGTATGTAGTAGTACAGTAGTAGTAGTAGTAGTAGTAATAATATTTCCTACTATAATATAACGAGTTGTTCAAGTTGTCAACTGACAAGCAGTTATAATATTTTACTAACAAACGAAAGAAAAAAATTGGTGGGAAACCAAATTTCGATTGTTTTGTTTGTTTTAATCAAATTAGTCAACTGAATTTCTGATTGGATTTTGATAGTTGATAGTCTATCTTTTATATTGTCGTCTCGTGTATATTTTAAGTCAGATGAAGACAGAACTTTGTGTTAAATTATTGGTTCTTTTGTTTTGTTCAAGGTGAAAATTTTGAAAATTTACATATTATTTATAATTAACGTGTTTTTTGTGTGTGATTGTGCCATCAGGAGAAGTCGACCGAGGAGGTGAAATTTGTTAAGATAAGAATGACAACTATGCTGATAAATTCTTCTCTAGTAAGGTGCACCCCGGTCCCCGATACCTTGTATTGTGCCTTACGAGAAAGAAAGAATCACAGTATTGTCGGAGATCTTTCTGCAGTACATTCCAAAATTCCTAATGCGAATTTTACATGATATTACATTGTTTGCAGATCAAAGATATTATCTTGCTGAATGATTTGGGCAAATTGTCCGATAGTGATACCCTGGGTCATGTCAATGAAGTTTGAGCACGTGGAAGACAAATAATGTAAATTTGATTCTTAGCTTCTGTAGCATTATCACTGTCTCCTGTCAAGTCCTTGAATGAAATCCTTATAATATTTTAATATTAATATTCAATGATTTAAATGAAGAAATTAACAACTTTTATTTAAAATGTAATTATTACCTGGTCGAGATCGGAAACATCCTTTTTTCTCTTTACTTCTTTTTCCCTTTACTTCTTTTTTCAGCTAATTAGCTAAAAGCTTTAAATTAAAATCGAAGAATATGCGCCTACAATTTACATACGGAGATACGGATACTGTTAACTGTGCAAAGTACGATGTACTATTCGATTTGATTACATCATCGGCCAACCTGCATGTATATTGTATAAGTTGTATTTTTTGTGATTAGTTACGTTAAATAATTAGTGTTGGGTTTATAATTATTCAATTAATGTATTAGATTCTTGTTAATATAAAGTACCCGATTAGTTATTGTCTAGTTTATTGGATTTATAGTTGTTTCGAAAATTTTATTATAAGAAAACTTTATATATTAGTGTTACTTCATTGTTTTTATCAGAAAGTCAAAATAAATTATTTTTCATAACAAATTATTTCCTGCCAGCGCTCTTATATATATATGAGAATGTTCAACAACATTCAACACTCAAGTTGGACTTACAATAATACGTTTAGTGTTACTGTTACTTAGTTACCACCAAACGCATTAGCATCGTTTCTACACGTATGCACGAATGAACTTCTACATGAACTGCACGCCACAGCACATCCAAGATAACTTGCCATTTCACAAGCTTGATCTGGCCATGCTTGTTAAGGCCAGAGGGGGGGGTGTAATGCTTGTTAAGGCCAGAGGGGGGGTGTAATGCTTGTTAAGGCCAGAGGGGGGGGGGGGTGTAATGCTTGTTAAGGCCAGAGGGGGGGGGGGGGGTGTAATGCTTGTTAATAGCTTAGAATAAAAAGTTGGCCGTGAGCTTGTAATCAGCTTGTAATCAGCATTTTGTCGACCAACAGTCCAACACAAGGTGAGGCAATGTGCAGCCAATTCTTGAAAGTCACAGACGAATATTTTCAAGTGCACATTATATCTAGATTAGCAGCATCTTTGATAAAATACACATCACTGATATCACCATCCACGTCCTTGTCACTAGCCTGGGCAGAGAACACAAGGAAGAGTGACGTGTCTGGACTGTGAAGACAACTCTATTCAGCAGTCAGCTGTGTACAGTTACAGGCCTACTACCAGGGCTCATGATCATGACCACTTGGTTATCCTAACACATGCCAACCTAGGGACTGGCAAAGGACTGGATGCTATATTTTTGTGGGTTTCAAATACTCAGCCCCTCTTGAACAATAGTGGGTGTTAAATGAACTCGACAAATACCATTCCAATGTCGAGGCGAGATACTGTTTAGAGAGACACTTCAGCAAGGCTTAAAACACGATTCTATAAATTCGTAATGAAAAGATATTAGATAGAACACTAAAATTCAGTATACACTATACATACAATATAATCGTAATAATAAAATAGTCAAAAACCCGATTAATATCCACATAATATAAGGGGTCATTCGCATATTACGTAAACCTTAACCTGGTAACCTTATTACCTGCACAAGAGCAATTCTAACTGTCCATCCACATTTTCTGTGAAAAAAACTGATATGAATCCTATCTGAACAAAATGCTATGTTGTCTAGCTGTTATCTAGCTCTTCTTGAGTCTCTGTCCTCTGTCCTGTCGTGCATCCCTCAGTCATGTCCGCTTCTTCTTATCTCCTCTTATCTCTTTGTCGTCGTTGCCGGTCTGTCTCTACTTTGTCACAAGATTAACAATTCCTAACCAGAGTACGTTAGATGAGCATGACCGGATCTTAACTGAATTATTGGAGTTAAAATATACAGGCTACGTCTGTAGTCCGGTCTGTAAGTTACCATGGAAGCATGGAAGTCCATGATACTTAATGCCTCGGCAGCTGTATGTACTGAAATTAAGTAGTTGCCCAGTTCAACGTCGCAATTGGGTGGTGAACAGGAACTACCAAAATTACTGTACTCAGCCCATCCCAAAAACGTGGGTGTTAAATAAACTAATGAAGCTCATTAAGAAAAGCTTAGCTCTGCTAAAAAATGTTTTATATGCTGACAAAACTCCATAGCAGAGGAACTTAAAGCGGGTGAGTGGGTGTAAGGAAAATAAAGGAAAATGGTGCCAATTCCAAGAAAATAGAGCCTATATATTAACTTTGTATAAATACAAAGTTGTTTCTGCCTTTCTCTGATATCATGAGTCATTGTAAACAAACTCAATGTATAACACCGTATCTGATCAGGTAGTGTCATGTCGTCCTACAACTTCAAACAAATAACGACCGTGCCCAATGCAAAGGTAATTATTAATTATGTAATTATTAATTGCGTAATCCCACCTATAGTTAATAGTTATAGTGTGAATTTAACAGTATAATTTTTTTCTGACTTGAACTGGTTCATTTTGCTGTCATTACAAATATAAAATTCAAATTTTACTAAACACTATTACACTACTACAGTGATTACAAATGAAAATCTTTGAATTTTATCTTTTATTTATCAAGACTTCACTGGAATGATTTCAGGAGCTGATTGACATTATTCTGTCAAAGACGCAGAGAAAAACCCCAACAATCATACACAAGTAAGAGATTTTAGTTGAGCTCAACAACTATCATGTTTTGTAAAATGTTCTGAATCAGCCACTTCTTATTGACTTAATTATTAATCGGCATATTTGCTTCAAGCGTTATCATATTTCATAATATTATGTTCTTTAAAATATTATAAAAGTTCATATTTCCTTATTATCAAATATCATATTTCCTTCAGGCATTATCAAATATCATATTTCCTTCAGGCATTACCAAATATCTCGGATACGTTCATTTTACATGAGGAAAGTTAAGTTCACTGAATCAAATCTTAATGAGAAATTGACTGGAATCTTGGGAGAATTCCCCAAAATTGAGGTATTTTACATTGTTTGTTAAATTACACTTAATTAGATGAATTGTCAAAATTCCAAATTGTAACCTTATCACTGTCAGTAGAATTGCTTTTTGGGATCGTTTTATCGTATTATTTCTACTAAACAGCTACGTGTAAAGTGGTTTACAAAGGGGGGGGGGGGGGGGGGGGGGGGGGGGGGGGGGGGGGTGCAGTCACATACGCTTATACTAATCATTAGCTGGGAGTATCCGCGAGATGTTCAATGTTCTGATCCTTAGTGACGGGGATGGTGCCGTTAGTTTCGACGTTATCCCCTAAGCTAAGGATCTAAACTCCTTTACAAGTGTGAATGTTAGTGGCTGATATAGCAAATCTTATGGTAAATATTATCTGACACTGACAGGGATAATCACACTAAAATGGTTCCACCTTTTAAATCAAGTTTCTGTGTATATCACACGTTTTTATGAACATAAGATGTACTACATGTCATATATTTTTATATCTACTACTATAATATTATCATCATCTTACAATTTTCTTTTAATCGTAACAATTTCAGGATATTCATCCATTTTATGCGGATCTGATGAACATATTGTACGATAAAGACCATTACAAGCTAGCACTGGGTCAGATCAACACAGCTAAACATCTTATTGGAAAGTAAGTTTCACGCTGTCCCGGAGCTGAGAGTAGGATTTAAGTTCTATAAATATACTGTGTTTTTAAAATTTTTTAAATCAATAAACTTTCAAATTGTTACGGGTTACCCAAATACATCATTTTATTTCAAAGAAAATATCGCCGAATGACCTTACATGCCTTGACAAGTGACCGAGTGTAAACAAAATTAGGGACACCGAAACACCAGTTGACCAGTAAACTGATCATAGCAATTACATCGGGCCCTATATGCACCTATAAGTGAAGCGATGCTGCAACCAAGGCATGCTAGGTTTATTCCATTGAACTAATAAGGTTACAGCCTAAAATATAAATATGACTAGAAACCCGCTAGTCGAAAGCTTTGTTCGAGGAAATTTTAAAAATCAGTTATGTTTTAATTTCTCTTCATCATACAGCTCTGTTATACAGTAGACATAATGGAATTTATTTAACAATGGCGACAGCGTTGTTAGTAATTAGTATTCGGATTCCTTGTAGCGCGATGCACTACTGGGTCGCGCGCGCGCATCCAATAATGCTTCTCGCAACCACATGCAGATCGGCGAGATGCGAAGGATTGACATCGTGAATCAATCGGATTCCCAAAACGATACTTTTTACCGCATCAAAAAATACCAATCACAACCAAAGTTATGAATATAAGTCATAGCGTGAGCGTAAATGTGAGCTAGTTTTGAAATTATGACGTAGCATACAGCATAACAACGCGCGTAGTTAAGATGTTTTTGCTCGCGCACGTGCATTTTAACGTTGCTACGCAACAGCGCAGTAAACCTTTGCTAAAATAACGACATTATTCTAACGGTTATTTTACCTCACTTCCGACGTTAATTATAAAAAATCTAAAGCCTAAATCAAAATTCTAAGAATGCTATAGCCTATTCCTATCCTTTTTCTACAACCCTGCTAAAAATGGCGAGGTTTCAACTCCATTTGCGAGCTGGGTTTGATTTCACCAGAGGGTCATTTTGAGGTCGATTTTCGGTGTTTTTTCTTCTATGTCCCCGTTGCCGGGGAAATTTCGTCAAGTTTAAATTATAGTATAGATAAATAACAATGTACCATAAATCATAATTATAAACACACTTTATTGAACATATTTTACCTTACTCGGGAATATTATAACCGGGATAAAGTGGTGGGTTTTGGAAGATTCCGCCATATTTTTCCCGGTCAAAAATTTTACCAGCCATAAAAAACCCGCCGACTCAGATTATGGGGTTCCAAGGGGGTGGTGATCATCATATTTTACCTGAAGTCTCATATGTGCTAGAGAAGACTTTTGAAGCAGTGGATGGAGGGCTGTAACTTTATTGGCGGTTGCTACCATAATTTCGTTATAAAAATCACAATTTGGTTATAGAAATCAGATTTCAGGGTGGACCGTGATTCTACTTCTCTTGCCCATGAATCAGTGAATCGTAGAGAAGAAAACAATTTATATGTTATAGAAGAAAACGAAAATAATAATAATATATAATATATATTATAATAATAATGTCTCTAAAGATTGATCGCTTCTCGTGTGCAGTGTGTAGACTAAAGAAAGAGGGAGTTTTTCCCGTTAAAGTAACTTGTGGCCACATCCCGCTAGAAGTGAGTAAACTGTGCCACTATTTCATGGTCCACGGTGGATTGATTACTGGAGCAGTTGAAGATGCAAAGCCAAGACGTTCCCCAATACCAAGCGGTGGGCAGGAAATTAAGCTCCGGCTGACCTTCAGAGCAGTAGCCCCATTAGCGGACAAAATGAAAGTCTTGTTAAGACAACAATACAACTTCGAATTTGACGGTCAGCTGCTCAGAGGGATATCAATAATGATAATGGCGGGGACATTTAGCGATAATGAGAATGAGAATACGCTTTAATGAAGATTTGACTTATTATTGCTTAGATTTATTTTCCTTTAAATAGACGTGTCTTTTTTTCTATTTCTGAGTAATATCAATAACTGTAAATTGAAATAACTTCTTTAACAAGTAACAAAAACAGAAATTTCGGTTGAAAATTTGTTGACCTCTGAAAAAAAACTTGAAAGGTCGGCCCACCGCGCCGGTAAATACATGACCGGGATAATTTGGCGGGTTTTGGGAAAGTCCGCCATATTTTTCCCGGTCATTAATTTTCCCAGTCATAAATTAACCCGCTATAATATTCCCGAGTAAGGTATTAATTATACTTTTTATCAATTTATATTCAGATAATATAGTTACATTAAAGATTGAAAACTTTCAAATTATCAAAATATATAATATCGTGATCTATAACAAGAGATTATAATTACTGATTAAGGATTTGCAGCATTTGTACGGGGTTGTAAAGTACAAAAATATAAATTCGTGAGATTAATGTCGGGAATGCGCACAGATCTTTAATCAGTAAAATGACAGTGAAATTGTACTGAGGTGTTTAGTAATAGTATTGTAAAACTGCTCGAGGTTATTCATAATTCGTCTTGATCATTGCTTTGCACTAAAATGATGTTTAGATATGTGGTAAGAAGTCAGCGTAATGAGCCACTAGACTGTCAGAGCATATCCCGGTATCAAAGGCAAAATGTTTGTGCGGCAAAGAGATAATGTAGTAATATAGGAAATAATGTAGTATCCGTCTAAAAATAAAAGTTTGTGGCAAAGCACGCCAATATCTGATTTTCAGATACAAATTATCTTACTCACCTCCTCTATATTGTGAAGTTGGGCTAACACTGTCTCCGGGGTCGCTAAACGGTGCAGTCACTTTGTTTCATGAATACAATATATATACAATAAACATATACATTATACAATATATACATAATAAGATAAAACACTCTATTGAACTGACCTCTTGTAAGATAATCGAAGAGTACACATTGTGTTGTCCACAACAAGAGAATGACTCCGAAGTGTGCTCGCTAATTGCTGGTTTTAGCATAACACTAAAACCCTGTCCTATATTGTCTAGAGATGTTTAGATCAGAATGAAGTCTCTCCCACGACTAGTGTGCTTGCTCATGAAAATTCAAAAACACAGCCTCAACGATGCGGCAAAATGTACAGCAAATTATGCGGCACCGCATCTGGTCCGTCCAATAAGGCTAATAATGCGGCAAAAGTCGTGCAATATGAAAATTTTTTGGTAATTATGGGACTAAATTGGTCGAAAATCAAGATAATGAGCAGTGAGCCGATGATAATTAGTAGGGTGCTAGCCGGTTCAGAAAATGATCAAAGCAAGCAAATGAGAATAAGATATCTGACATTAGACAACCGTAATCAGTAACAAAACCACAAGGAATAGGCAACTGTATTGTTCAATACTTCGTCGCTAGCTTGGTCCCAAAATGTCGAGATTAAACAAAGCGATTAAGAATTTTTGCATTATTCAAGAAGGGGACACAGCCATCACACTGTTGTAAAATACAGCATGAACTTTTATTAACTTTAAAGTTATAGAGTTATCGAAGAAATGTTCTACTTATATCACGAGATCATAACCGACAAAGGGTACCTAAAACTCTAACCACTTGCACTCCCCATCAGTGTTGCAAAAGACTACAACAGACTGCTCAAGTTTGGAGACAGCTTGTACCGGTGCAAGCAGCTGAAGCGCGCGGCGCTGGGTCGCATGATGACCATCATGAAGCGTCAGAACAGTTCTCTTCTGTATCTGGAACAAGTTAGGCAGCATCTCGGCAGATTACCTTCTATTGACCCCAATACTCGTACACTTCTGCTCTTCGGGTACACTTCTTTCTTGTTTATAAAGTTATAATTATCACTTTGTTTCATATATTTTCTTCAAGTGCAGTGCATGTTTGCTATGGAGTGATATTCGTGTTTTTGTTAAGTTGAGTATTCGAAAGGATTGCGACGACTTCAATCGAATGAATAAGATATCGCCAATTAATGATTGTCATTAGTTTTATTGCAAAACGGACGGAAAACTTAATGTAATTTAAACTTTTAAAGTGTCTAAACGTTTGAGAATTATTCTCTTAGAAATGGGTCCTCTACAGGAACATTGCAGGAACAGTGCACATCTTTTCACATTTGTGCATTGTGCAATATATTACTTAGTGTAAGGAGTGTCCCTAAACTCCCTTTTAAAGTATGTGACTAAAACATTTAGGTGCCTAGTCGACTTGCAGTGTAGATAAGTCAGATTATTCGTTGCAACCTCCAAAATTACAAGAGCCATATTTAACAATACCCCACCCAGGTTCCCAAATTACAAGAGCCATATCTAACAATACCCCACCCAGGTTCCCAAATTACAAGAGCCATATCTAACAATACCCCACCCAGGTTCCCAAATGTAGGAAAGTCCTCTTTTGTAAACCAGATAACACGCGCTAACGTGGAAGTACAGCCGTACGCGTTCACCACAAAGTCGCTCTACGTGGGACACACTGACTATCAGTATTTGAGATGGCAGGTTATTGATACTCCTGGGATACTTGACAAGCCCCTGGAGGACAGGAATACTATTGAGATGCAGGTGAGTGCGGGAGTGCTGAATAAGTGCTGAATTAGTGCTGAATTAATGCACTTTAAATATGTGCTGAATTAGTGCACTTTAAATTAGTGCTGAATAAGTGCACTTTAAATTCTTACAATTCTCATCCTTTATAAAATAGCACAGCTCTTAGTCCCAGACTCCCATGATCTTTGTAGGGGTCAACTTATTTCCAACGACGAGGCTGATATAAGAATGGCGTGTTTATTAAAGTATCTCATCGTACCTCTCCATACTAAACAAAATTCGTTCTTCAGGCCATCACTGCTCTAGCGCATCTACGCGCGTGCGTGGTGTGCGTCTTGGACATCAGCGAGCAATGTGGATACTCTCTGAAACAGCAGTGCGAACTGTTCGACAACATCAAGCCACTCTTCGCTAACAAGCCTATCATTGTAGCTCTCAACAAGATCGATGCTAGGAAACCTGAGGATCTCTCTCAAGAGGAAAAGGTTTGTTTAAATAATCTGATAAGGTTGGATAATTTTATGAATGTGCCATGTGTGCAATTGATTGTACAGCTTATGTTTTTGACCTTTTTACTGAAAACTTATTTTATTTTAAATTTTATCGGATGTTTTCTGATTAGAATCGAGTCACATACAACTTTTATCGAAAACTTAATCTTATCGGCTAATAGAATTTAATTCAATTATTACCTAGGTAATTTCACAAGGTAGTTAAATTAAACATATTAAATTAATGCCTTTGAGCGTTCATTTTAATGTCCGTTCAAAATTATGTCCATTTACGAAATGTCCGGTCAAATAACGTCCGATTTCTGCTAGAACCGAGTCACATACAACTTTTATCGAAAACTTAATTTCATAGCTATAATAGAATTTAATTTAGTTATTTACCTGGGTATTGTTTGAATATATTAAGTAAATTACTATCACAAAATATACTTCACCAATAGATGTTATTTTATCACGTACAAAGGAATCACCTGATTTCTGTTGCCTTTGTTACTACCTATCCAAACAAACCCAGTCATTATAAAATTATAACAACCTCTTCTCTACAGAATCTACTAGAAGAGACGTTTAAGAAGAACGCAAACGTGTTGGTTATCCCAATGTCCACTCTGACTCAGGAGGGAGTGTCTGAAGTACAGAACACAGCCTGTGATGCTCTTCTTGCTCACAGGATCGAGCAGAAGATGGCGGGAAACAAGGTTAATATTATATGTACTCTCTTTTGTACAAAACTCTTTTGTCTCAAAAAGAATAATACAGTTTTAAGTGGTCTAGAGTAAACCAAGACTACTATTGCTGAAACTAATCTTTAAACAGGTTGAAAACATCCTGAACAGACTTCACGTAGCCGTCCCCAAAGCTTCCCAAGAAGTTCGAGCACCCCACATTCCGCAAGGAGTACTGGCCCGCCGTGTTGCCGGATACGTTAAGCCTGCTGAGATACGCAAGTTGGAGCGAGACATGGAACTGGAGTTGGGAGATGATTATATTCTCGACCTTAAGAAACACTACGATCTACCTAATCCTGATGATAAGTATGTGAAGCCGCCTTTAAATATTACTTTTGTAATATTTTAATCTATTTTAAAGTTGGGAATATTGCACCAAATTGGTCGATAGACAATAGAGACACGTTTATAGCCTGATTGTTTAGGCGATCACACATCAACCATAAAAACTAATGTTTAGCAACCTTTATATTATCATTAGTTACGAGCTTTTTATTTCAGGTATGATGACATTCCAGAAGTTTGGGAAGGGCACAACATCGCTGATTTTGTCGACCCAGACATTGTGACAAAACTAGATGAACTGGAGAAGGTAGTATTACCCAGCATTTATTGTTATACTCTACAAATTAGTTGTGTTATCTTAGCCTCTTTAACATGATATATTATCCTCATTTATAATATTTCTATCCAATGATTGGTCTGATTTCAATTATTACTTTTCCCCTGCACAGGAAGAAGCGATGCTAGAAGAAGCAGGTGTTTATGAAAGTGAAGATGAGAATTTGACGGAGGAACAAAAGGATATACGAGAAAAAGCGGGTCTCATAAGAAAAGAGAAGGCCATAATCCGACACAAACATAGACTTAACAAACACAGGTATTTCTTGTTTATTCCCCCTTTTGCGCACGTTTGTACTTAGTTGGCAGCACCCATTTCTTCCCACGAGTGTAATTTAATGACAAATTGTTAAAATTCCTAGAAACCGCAAGAATTAGCCTATTTAAAAAAGTAAACATTCTTAAGTATTGGCATTAGTAAGTGGCATTTCCACTCACCATCGCAAAAATCTCAAGAATTGGAATTGCCACTTACCATCGAAACACACTTTTCAGTAATCGAACCCCAATGAGTGAAAGGGTGGTCAGGAAGAAACAGGGTATAAAACGTGCCCGAAGTATATCCAGAATGTCCCAAGACGAGTCCATGGAGGTTGATACTAAATTCCAGACGAAGAAAGTAAAGCCTGGTCGGGACGTCAGTGGTCTCCGAGATGCAAAAATGGTCAGTTTTAGGAAGTTGTTCTGTGGTTGACTCTCCTCTGTGTGGGTTTGGTGTTATTGTGTAGCACTATCACGAGTGTCAGCATAATGTTATCTTAAATGATGGGTGGAAGTGTTTAAATAATCAACCTTAGTTGTCTTAAGCCTTGCTCTAGGAAAACCACGAAGTAAGCTATGAAAATTGCGCGTCATTAAGCGCGTAATTCGGCCTGTTTCATTCGGATTTGTTACATCGCGCCACGCGGGTGTCGTTTTTAACAAAGAAAGCACATTTTTAGTGCTGATCAGCACATGTCACTTTATTTTGTACGCGCGTCCACGCCTCTCAAATTAAACGTGGTACGGGCAGGGGCTGAGGGGCCACTCTTAATTTCCAAGTGGCCTGGCTTGGGTCTAACTCACAATCCACGGTATAATATTATTACATAGCATATCGTGGGCGTAGCATTTAATAACGTATTCAGTCCTCGACACCCACACATGCCGTGCGTGATGCGCGCTGTTCAGGCATTATAGTCTTACGTAATTCAGTTAATACTAGCCGACGGATATGACTACACATTATATTATTATAATAATAAATTATGTAATGGAAATAATAAGTAACATTTTAACAATAAACCATATTAGAAAGCCGTGCTCACTACCATTTTGTTCAGGTCAAAGAAGTTCGAAAAAAGATGAAGAAATCTCAAATAAAGATGAACCAGTTTGGAAAGGCTGGTGAAGCTGATCGACATATTGCTGCCAAGCTACCTAAACATCTGTTCTCCGGCAAACGAGGCGCTGGAAAAACAGACCGAAGATAGGACTTGTTTTTTAATGTTGTTTTATGGGGCCGTTATTTATCACTCTGAAGTTGTAATCTTTTAAAAATCATGCCATCTGATTATCTGAAATGACGATAATTTATTTTACTTTTTACCTAACTCTGAGTTTTGCTCTACTGTGCAATGAAGAATATAGATTGAATCTACATCTGTTCCCATGTGAATGCTGACAGCAAACGATCGAAATTTTAATTCGAAGAATTTAGATTTTAATACTCTACTCCCCATTTCATTTATCTCTCATTTTGCATTTAATCTAAATTTAATTAACTCTTATAGCATGGTTGATGCTGCCACTAAGAAGACTCTCGCTGCTATACCTTTACTGAAAACGAAGGCGGGTCCAAGAGATAAGGAAGAATGGCCAGTTAGGCTGAAGGAAGAGGTCACAAGTCTCATAAAGGTAATTAGGATAAGATTACTTTAGTCAATCACATAGAACATGGCAAACTCTTAGACAACACCCAAACATTTACAACTGATGATGTACACATCAGATGTGATTAATAATCTTAGTGTAATGTTCAGCGAACATCTTAAGATTCAACCGTCCCACCCTCGAGATCAACATCAAGCCGTCTATATTTTCAGTATATCCATAACAACAAAGAAGCTGATAATGATTGGTTAAGAATTCAAAGCAACAAAGAAGGCACGAGATGGTTTGGCAAATGTTGGTATATTCAGGACTACAAGAAGTATGAGTTCGAGCTTGAATTTGATGTAAGTTTCACTTTATTTCATCTTACATTTCGTTCGAAACTGCCTGGTTTTCCAAATTTCATGACTAAAGAGGGACTAAAGAGGGACTAATCTAAGTCAAATTTTACGCTTTTAAATTATCTTGTTTCCACTTCAGATTCCTGTTACATATCCCAGCACCGCTCCAGAGATAGCCATACCAGAACTGGACGGTAAAACTGCTAAAATGTACAGGTTCGTGAAAACGTCAGTGTTATCGCTGTTCTGAAGGGGCCTCAATTTGTGCGACTGCTTTGTAAACTGAAATATGCTGATTACATTAAATACCAACAACGAGGTTTTGAAATCAGCTGATCTTGCAGAGGGGGAAAGATTTGTCTGACCGAACATTTTAAACCGCTGTGGTCCAGGAATGCCCCTAAGTTCGGAGTCGCTCATGCTCTCGCTTTAGGAGTAAGTACAATTCTTGTTTTTAGTAATTACAAAGATTGTAAGTTTTAAGGATAAAGTCGCCTTTAAATTAATGAACATTTGAAACTTGAAAAGCCTTGTTATTAAAATTTTGAGACTTATATTAACAGATTTACATTTCAGTTAGGACCGTGGATGGCGGTTGAAATTCCAGACCTTATTAAACGCGGAGTTGTGGTGCACAAAGACGATCAGCCTAGCGGGGAATAACCTAGGGCACTTAAATTATCACATTAAACTCTCAACTGTTGTAATTTATCCCATGTTTTGTGTTATTTTGATTCTTATCTTAGGTTTTCTCCCTCGTAATGTTAAAATTTGAATTTGGTTAAGATTTCATTTTAAAGTTATAGCACAGATATTTGGTTTTATGTTATTTAAAGGATTTTAATCTTGAGTCTAAGTTTTCTCATTCTTATTGTTAAAAGTTAAATTTGGTTGAGGTTTCATTAAGTTATACTACAGATATTTGGTTTAAAACTTTGAAATGCGTACTGAATAGCAAACGAAATGTGAAATGACTCAAAAGCTTGAAATTTCAAATAAAATTGAACTTAACAATGAAATGTTCAAAACAGTCAGTTCCACTATGGAACAATGATTAATTTCATGCTGAATGGTAATAGTGTAAGGGTTTAGTTAAAACATAATTTATGATTAAATTAACAAACTAATGCTGGTGTTAATATATGATAAATAATAATTGAATGATGTATTGATGACATAAAACTGCAATTTTCAACCAAGCATATTTTACGAATTTTACTTTAACTCTTATAAACGTTACTGAAATACATGCTATAAAATACTACGAACAACAGCTTTCTACCCAGCTGACACACAAAAACACAGGTCATAGTCCAAAAGCGAAGCATAAAAACATTAACAGCAATCAACATTTAAACTAAAAATCAACCCCGCCTTCAATTCAACCGTATCTCTTCTTTCTGGCAGCCTTGTCGTCATCAGAGTCATAGTCTTCCTGCAGTAGGTTCCTGTATTCCTTCTCTTTCCTTCGTTCTTTCGACTGCAATTCCAGGATGTCAAATAGTTTAAATAATTGATTCAAAATCAGATTACTACACAGACGTTTTGAAAGTGATATTGTTATAGCAGACTCTATATCACCAGTTCATATCAAACTCTGCTTCTTCCCTAGTATGTACACCAAAACATATGTCACATTCAATTTTCTACTATACAATATACATTATAGTGTGTAACTTGCTCAATATACATCATGGGCTACCACATTGAATATGTCAGAAAACAAAAAATGTATACAGTATTAATTTTAATGTAATGTTATATTAAATATATACTTGAACATTGAATAACAAAATAAGCTGCTAATAGTGTCCAAATCAGCAGCCCATTCGATTGAAATTTTAGATAAGGAATATAATTTCCTGAATCACTCGTCCGTAGTCTAAGATTAACTCAGTATAGTGACGATTACAGAGTAAAAAATAGTAGTCCTTCATAGTTCATACCCATCTCATATAATATGCTTTGAATCAAAACAATATTCAATAAACAAATCGTCTTCAACTTATGGGACTACTATTTTGATACCTACCGCAATTGTAAATTGGTAATCATGCACATGCAATATGGATATGTTTGTGAACACTCAGGAATTGTACATTTGGATATAATAGTAGAAGATCGCTATTAGTTTAGTTTACATGCAAGACAACTGAACTAGTCGAACAGTGGTTGGTGATACAATCGCAATCTATGCAAGAAAATTAGCCGGATTCCGATTCCCGAGGTTGTGGCTCGGGGTTACTATTAAAACGTGCAGATAGCATGCAGATTTACGTAGCTCCCCTCATGACTTACAGCATTACAACTCCCGGTATCTAGGTCTACTCTTGGGGGACCTGTAGTCTCGTATCGACTTGCACACCTTGGAAAGGCGATACGTACTTAGACTTTTGATACCTAGTTGTTCTTTTAACAACGTACTTAGAATTTCAACACAGTTTATTTGGTACGTACTTTTAACAAAAGGTCCAGTACTTGCTGTGAGTGTACTACTAGTTACTAATGGTATTGGTTTCGTGCTCATACAAAATACATTTATTATATTGTGTATAGTGTCGTGCTCGTGTGATAGAATTGAGAATGTTTTAATTTGTCTGACCTATCAGCACTTTATCTTTCATTCACTTAGCCATTCCGTTTATTAGCTGTAAAATCACTGGTAATGCTTCAAACAATCGTTAATCGGTTTCTAATGCTTCGATAATAGTATTCATTAGTTTAAATCTCACCTTTTTACGTGCAATGTAAAGAACATAGATAACTACTACTGCCACCATGGCAATGATGATAAATGCAATAACTTGTGTGGTTGCCATGGCATCAGCCCATCCAGCGGCTTCGATCTCCTTCTCTTCTGCTTCTTCTATCTCCTGGAAACAGAATAGTGATGTGGGCAAATCTTATATCATTTGGACAAGTCAATGATCATTGCATTGGAATAAAAAAGGGATTGTAGGAAAAAGTAGGGATCACTTGCAGTTCACAGATAGGATTAGGAAATACATAACATGCATAGGAAATACATAACATGCAGCGCATAGAATAGCAGGAAATCCTCACAATTTTGGTACCTAAGTGAAAGTCCTAAGAGTAAGGTTGGATTTCATAATTTATTTTTTACAATCGGGGAAAAGTAATGTCTCAGTGTGCATACCTTGATTTTCTCCACGATGTCCTGCTCAGCGGATGTTTCAATATTATAATTGTTGTCGACCTGATAGCCATTATCTGCGTCAGCAATATCCGTTCCTTTCTCAGTTGGGAGCTGAAATCAATGATGCGGTGTTACTAAAAATAGGACTTAAATATTTGTGCTCGGATCAATGATATAGAATTCAGAAAATGTAATTTATAATGCACGACCCGATAAGGACTCAATACTTATAACACTAACAGACTCAAGATTGTAGCAATAGTCTTACTGTATATAAATTAAATATTAAATTTAGAGATGGCCGGTTGCACCGCTTACATTCTTATTATGAATCCGAGTCATGACATTACCAGGATAATTTTAAACCGATGGTAATTTCTTCGGAGAGTTTCAAACCGACAATTTAGTTTCAGGCATCTAGAAAAATGGAACAAGGATATGTTATGCTGATTGCTGGTGGATTAAAAACGTTGAGCCCATTCTGCATGTCAGTTATAAGCGTTTTAATTGTTTGTTCCAAATATTATTCGAACTCCAAGACCGTCGACGAGTCCAACTCAGCGCGCGTCTTGGTAGGTTATAAATTAAACCAACAATAAATATAAATAGTATTATAGTTATAAATATAAGAACATACCGACGACTCAAAGGATCCCAGAAGTTCTGAAGATGAGGTTGAACTCGGAGGTTGCGTTGAACCAAAAGCTCCGTTCTCTTCTTCCCCCTTCTCACCTGCCTCCTCTTCTTCCCCCTTCTCGTCTGCCTCCTCTTCTTCATTCCCGGATGTTTCTACAGAGTTCTCTTCTTGGGAGGTGTCGCTGTCTACTTGGTATGACTGAGCTTCAGTCTGGGTCTGATCTGCAATCGAATCCTGAATAATAATGGTTTACTTACTAGGTCAATATAATAATAGTTAATAGTGTTATAGTAACGAGCAATCATATTTGATTGATTATGTTGAATGGGTTGACAGTTGACACTATGAATATAATAGTATAACGTAAGAGTGTAGTATTTTAAGTAATTGGAATCACAACTCTCCGAATACCAATACTTTAAACAAGTTTTCAATATTTCAATGATACAGATCATAATACATATTATACGATACAATATACATATATAATATATATATATGACTATAAGTATATGAGTGTAACTGTGCATGTACTTAGGACTTTCTCAGGTTAACCCAGATATAACGTAATGTTGCATTATAACAAACAATTCTAGCAAATTTTTAACATTCCCAAAAGTCACCTGGTTGTTGGATGTAACCATAGTAGAACCACTCAGAGGATCAACAACAACTACTTGGGGCTGGTTTACAGTCAGACCATCATCCTGAGTCTGTGCAGGTTGTTCCTGAACGGTTTCCTGAACTGCCTCTCCAACCTCCGTCTGTATTTCCTGCAGTTTTATTTGTGATTTTCTGTCGATATTGAAATCATTACGGTGACAAACATCATTTATGACATGAACAAAGGGTATTAATTCATCTGTTTGTTGGATTGCATAAAATTGTTAGAACAAGGTAAGGTCCACTATCTGTCTAACATTATTTAGACTGTGAAAATCAGGTTAAGGTCCATTATTGGTTGGATTTTGTATAGCTTTTGTGGTTTTTGCGGAAAGTCGTGTTAAAGTTGATGCCGTGGTGTCAGTAAAATGGTACGGATATATAAACATACATATTGATATATATTTTATATATAGTAAGATATTACTAGCCCATAGACATTAGACACTGTTTTAAGATACATACTTATTTTTTTTAATTATTATACCATCATTAAAGCTATGCAAGTATTTATGAACATGACGTATAAATACAAATTAACCCAAATATATATTAATAACGAATACTATCGCATGGTATTCTATGCGATCGTATAGTAAAAGTATGAAGTAATAGTGCATCTATGAGTTCGACCCAATATACATCAATCGCCAATCAAAGAACGGTAATATTGAATTTTTTGGCGTCCCTCCCTAAAATTGAACAAATTGGATGATTTTAGAGGATACACCGGGTAAAATCTCTAAAAAAAGTGTGTTTCTAGAGCAAAATGCGCAGTTTTGCTAAAGTTAAGTTTTTCAAAATTGTCCCACATTCAAACGACGATTTGGCGCCCCGCCCACCCCCCCCCCCCCCCCCCCCCCCCCCTAAGACCAATATTCCAGCTCAAACTTTTGAAGCTATCAGTATAACTATAAAATATGTAGACTGTCCCTCATCACGTCGAGACCAATGGAATGGACATACATAATTAGTTGGTGCACAATAATAACGGTGACCGACAACTAAGAACCTCTCGTGATCCATGTTCTGGCCATCCTAACAGCCGGACGGGTTAGCTAGTTAGAATAAGATGTCGGCCCCCCTATAATTGTTAATGATATGGTTTAATTATATTCATATATAGTTTGTTATAGCTGTGGTACTGGTCAGTTTACTACCGCCCTCATCAGATAAACATGTCACGTGTGACAGTACAATTGTTTCATATTCTAGCTCAAACTTAGCTCTCCTTCATAGTTTTATTGGTTTTCAAGAAAACAACAATTTCAAAGTTGACCCCCTCAAAAGTTCGGTCACCGGTCCTAGTTAGTTGGTCAACTGCTATCTCGAAACCAAGTTTCACAAAAAAATCAGGGTGAACCCCCCTTAATAAGTTTCACGTCTTTGTGTTTTCAGTCAAGACTTTCCCTCATCGCATCATGACTAATATACACGGAGTATAGTAACTATAGGGCTACTGAGGTGGAGTTTGTTGAGTACATACCACCACTATTGTGCACCAAAGAAATATATCCATTATATTGGTTCCGATGTAATGAGGGACAGTCTAAACTTCGAACGTTTGAGAGCTGGAAGATTAAACAATTGGTAAGGTCGTCAAATTCAAGACCGACGATAATGAAACTTTTAGATGATTTAACAATGTAGTTGAGATTTGAATCTAAAGGATTGAGACATTCAGGGCAAATTAACGAGCGAGAACTATTGTTATGCAGCTGTTACGTACCGACTCAAAAACGGCTAA